GATGAAAATAGCTGCACTAGATGTTATACGATTCCCTTCCCCCTCTCCACGCCACAAACAAAGTGTTCCTTCTGGAGGCAAAATCACCCTCAATTGAGGACTACTGTAATAGACCACGTGAGAAATAAACAGGGCGGACGTGGCATATGGTAGGGAGAAAACCTAAAAGGTTTGCCAAGTGTTTGGATAGGAATGTGACTGAGGAAGAGGACTGAAAGATCAAACAGAGCCCGGCTGGTATGGCTCAATGGTTGAGCATCAACCTATGAACCAGGAGCTCAGAGTTAGATTCTCTCTCTGTCTCTCCCTTGCTCTCTGAAATCATTAAGAAAATATTTTTAAAACATAAAAAGATCAACCAGAACCACAGAAAATGCCCTAGAGGCCATGCAGTCTAATCTGCTCATAACTGCTTGCAACATTGTAAACTTCAGAGGGAATTCAGTAAAACCTACTAATAATCACAAAAATTATCTTGCTCTGATTCAGAAATTCCATTCCTAGGAATTTATCTAAAAAAAATTAAAATGAAGACAATCTATGTACAAAACAACAGTAATTACATGGAGATAGTGACTATGTTGCTATTAACTATTAAACTGTCATGCCTATCACAGTGCCTGTAAACAAGAGATCCACATTTAAAAGGTTGATTTAAGTAGTATGCATTCCCTGTAAATTTTGGAGATTAAACCCTTATCGGAGATATCGTTGGCAAATATGTTCTCCCATGCATTGGACTTTCTTATTTTGTTGATGGTCTCTTTTGCTGTGCAGAAGATTTTTATTCTGATGTAGTTTCCTATTTGCTTATTTTCTCTTTAGTTTCCATTGCCCTAGGAGCTCTATCGCTGAAGATATTGCTTTGGCATATGTCTGCAGATTTTGCTGCCTGTGGATTCCTCTAATACTAAAAAAAAAGTGTGATGAAATATGCCGTTGGTAATTTAATGGGGATTTCATTGAATCTATAGATTGCTTTGGGTAGTATGGACATTTTAATGATGTTGATTCTACCAATCCATGAATATGGTATATTTTTCCATTTATGTCTTCCTTTATCTCTTTTTTCAGCTTCCTGTAATTTTCTGAGTACAGGACCTTTACCGCCTTGGTTAAATTTATTCTTAGAGCCCTGACCAGTTTGGCTCAGTGGCTAGAGCGTCGGTCTGTGGATTGAAGAGTCCCAGGTTTGATTCTGGTCAAGGGCATGTACCTTGGTTGTATGCACATTCCCAGTAGGGGGTGTGCAGGAGGCAGCTGATCGATGTTTCTCTCTCATGGATGTTTCTAACTCGTTGTCCCTCTTCCTTCCTCTCTGTAAAAAATCAATAAAATATATATTTTTTAAAATTTATTCCTAGGTATCTTAACTTACTACTTAACAAAAGGAAGATAAACAATCTAATAAAAAAAATGGCAAAGGACCTAACTAGACCCTTTTAAAAAGAGGACATACAGAAGGCCAAGAGACACATGAAAACATGCTCAAAGTCACTACTCAACCAAGAGATGCAAATCAAAATGGCAGTGAGGTACCATCTCACACCTGTCAGAATGGCTATCATCAACAAAGCAACAAACAAGACAGGTGCTGTCGAGATTGAGTAGAAAAAGAAACCCTCTTGCACTGCTGGTGGGAATGCAGACTGGTGCAGCCACTGTGGAGAACAGTATGGGGTTTCCTCAAAAAATTAAAAATGGAACTCCCATTTGACCCAGGAATCCCACTTCTAGGAATAGATCCCAAGAAAACAGAAACACCAATCAGAAATTATATATGCACCCCTATGTTCATAGCAGCACAATTTACAATAGCTAAGATTTGGAAACAGCCTAAGTGCCCATCAGCAGATGAGTGGATTAGAAAACTGTGGTATATCTACACAATGGAATACTACACTGCTGTAAAAAAAGGAAACATTCTTACCATTTGTAACAGCATGGATGGAACTGGAGAGCATTATGCTAAGCAAAACAAGCCAGTCAGAGAAAGATAAATATCACATGATATCACTCATATGTGGGATATAATGATCAACATAAACTGATGAACAAAAATAGAACCAGAGTCATAGAAGCATAGAACAGACTGTCTGACCTATGAGGGAAGGCAGGGGGCATGGGGATAAGAGATCAACAAAGGACTTGGATGCATGCATATGAGCATAACCAATGGACACAGACAGTAGGAGGGTGAGGGCATGTGCTAGGGGGTGGGAGCGGCTGGGGAGAGGTCAATAGGGGGAAAAGGAGACTTATGTAATACTTTAAACAATAAAGAATTTTTTAATAAGAGGTCAATATAAGATTCAGAGATGAGATTGAGGATTCTGGAGAGAGAAGTTGTAGCTAATGAAACAAAATCCCAGAGCAGGTGGAAAGGGCAGATAACAAGAATGCAAATAGAGCGCTGGCCAGTGTGGTTCAGTTGATTGAGCCTTGTTTCTTGTACCAAGAGGTGGCCCTTGGATTCCCTGCCAGGGCATGGCCCCTGTTGGGGCTCCATCCCCAGTAGAGGGCATGCAGGAGGCAGCCCATAGATGTTTCTCTCTCATTGATGTTTCTCTTTCTTTTCCTCTCCCTTCCTCTCTCTCTACGTCAATAAAAAATATATTTAAAAAGAAAAAAAGAAGAATGCAAGTCCTAACTCCTTTTTCAGAGAGAAGGCAACAACCAGGAGAATTTGTAATGGAGAAAGTGCAAAGAGAAGTTGTGTGGAGGAACTTACAGAGGGCTTCAATTAATCACATCACCTGCAGAGTAAAGACCAGAACCACCAAGGTTTAAACAAAAATCTCAAAGCTTGCCTGAGGGTATTTCTTTTTTAAAAAAATATATTTTATTGATTTTTTACAGAGAGGGAGGGAGAGAGAGAGTTAGAAACACCGATCAGCTGCCTTCTGCACATCTCCTACTGGGGATGTGCCCGAAACCCAGGTACATACCCTTGACCCACATCGAACCTGGGACCTTTCAGTCTGCAGGCCGACGCTCTATCCACTGAGCCAAACCGGTTTCAGCGCCTGAGGGTATTTCTTGAAAACAAGATTTATGCACTTTCTGTGAAAAACTGCTCTGGAGCATGCTGTTCAGAAATGAGGACTCCGGGACATGCAATATGCAGAGACTAGAAAGAATAAAGAGTTACGTAGTCAAGTTTCTTTCTACTGAAGTCCCTAGCAACTTGATTTTCAAATTGCCCTCTAGCCCTGGTCGGAGTGGCTCAGTTGGTAGGAGCATTGTCCCATGCACCAGAAAGCCTCGGGCTAATTCCTGGTCAGGGCACATGCTTAGGTTATGGGTATGGTCCCCAGCAGGTTCAAGAGGCAACCGATCCATGTAGTTCTCACATTGATGTTTCTCTCTCCTTCTCTTCCTCCCTTTCTAAATCAATAAAAAATTAAAATAATTATAAATAAGTAAATAAATTGTCCTCTAGCTCTGAGCATCTACGTACAGACCAAAGGGTCTGGGGGCTTCGATTCCAGGTCAAGGGCAGGTACCTGGGTTGCGGGCTAGTCCCCAGCTCCTGTCAGGGAGTGTGCAGAAGGCAATCAAACCAGGAGCCAACCAAACCAAGAGGCAACCAATGGATTTGTCTCTCTTACATTGGTGTTTCTTTTCCCCTCCCTTCCCTCCACTCTCTAAAAAAATAAAAATAAAATAAAATAAAAATCAATGGAAAAAAAATCCTCCGGTGAGGATTACAAAAACAAACAAACAAAAAAACACAAATACTTAAAACAATTGCCCTCTAAATATGAAATCCCTGTTAATTTGGCAGAGATTCCTCGGTTCTAGTGTGAAGCCACGCATTTCAATTGGAGTACTGTTTTGCTAAGTGAAATAAGCAAGCCAGAGAAAAACAAGTATATAATTTCACTTATATGTAGAATCTAATGAGCAAAATAGAAATAGACTCGTAGAGACAGAGAACAGACTGATAGCTGTCAGAGGGGAAAGGCGTTCGGGGTTGGGGGTTGGGAGACTGGGTGAAAAGGGTGGCGGGATCAAGCAAAACCACCACCACCAAAAAAAAAAAGGAAATCCTCCTGACAACCATATGGTGATTACCAGACCAGAGGGAAAAAGGGGTGGGGGAAGGTAGAGAGAGTAAGGGGGAATAAATGGAGAAGGCAGGGGATTTTACTTGGCGTGGTGAACACACAATGCAACATACTGTTGTTGTATTATAGAACTGTAAAAATAAATTAAGGTTCATACGTGACCAGAAGGCGCTGAGTGGAAGAGTGGGCGTGGCCAACGAGAGGGCTGGCGGCCCGCCCCCTTCCCACAGCGCACCGCGGCAGCGCC